CTGGAATTGTTATTAAGTTTCATGAGACCAACATTTATAATGTAAATAGCAGCTGCCTTATCTGATAGGTTTCGTACAATGTATTACATTCTGTGGTGACAGGAATAGTGCGCATTGGACACAATGTGAAAGTGATGTGTGTTGTATTTTTGGCGTTGGCTTAGTTAAATATGTGGCCAAAAAAGTATAAGTGGAAATGAGTGGGATTGAACAGTATTGGGGTTTGTTCTCCCATTTGTTGTGTTATATCATAAAAATAATTGTGACTATTAGGAATCCTAGTAACATCTGAGCATGTGTTTGATAAAGCATCGTAAAGGATCAAAATTCCAAAGACACATTTCCTGAGAATTAGATTTTAGAGAGCATGCAGGGAACAGGACTGGAAAAGAGACTTTCAGGGAGAATTGTACTTGCCATCCATCCCATATTCGCTTTCTAAAGTGATGAAAAAAAGAGGTGCGGAAAGATCTGTCTCTTCATATCAAGCTCAGGTCTGGTATATATAGTTTTAATACTCTTCAGAGCATCCCTTATGTTTTATCTGCTCCAGTTTGGGTGGTAGAATTTCTACCACTTCTTTTCCCTTCTTGTCCTGGTTTTTGTAATAGTTACAACTTGTGTTTCTGTTTTCCTTTGTACAACCTTGTCCAGTTCCCTGGCTTATGATCAGCTGGACCAACCAGAAAAAGCCCCATTTTTCTCAGTTTTTAAACTCTTCAGCTCTTGTCAACATGTGTCATACTCTATTTATGCTCCTTAATGAAAATATTCGGTGAACAGGATCTTAATTCCCATCTCCCAAGAGAAGTAGAAATTGTTATCGGTTTATCTTTAGAGTTCAGCTGCATAAAGCACTGGACACTGCACTAGAAGGGAAATAATTCTGAACTAGGAAAGGATTGAAGTAGATGTGGTTAGCAGCTGAAATGAGTATTATGTACAGTTGACCAAAAACCAGCCCTTGGAAAAAAAAGTGGGTTTCCTTTTTGGCTTTGCCACTAACTTGTGAAGATGTACAAAAATATGTTAGGTTGCCTGTAAATCAAAGGTGTTTTAGGCACGCAGGTTATCATAAGGTTGAGTGCAGGGTTCAGACAGGGATAATAGGTTATTACACTTTATTGTGCTAAAATGCACCACAATTAGAGACAGTCATTCTGTACTACTGTCTAATTAATTTTTCTGAAGTGTTTATAAAGAAAATATCCTTAAACTGTTGTTTGATTTTTTTGTTGTTGTTGTTCTTGTTTTAGAGTGAGTTCAGTACAGTGAGTTTGTGTTTTCACACCTGTGCACTATCGTTGTAAATTGTAGTAGTCCAAGAACTTTTGTTTTTTCCCTGTGTAGAGCCACTTAGTTTTACAGGACAAGGTGATATATTTCTGACCTGTAACACAATTTGCTAAAACTGTGTTAGTTACTCCTAGTATATTGTATTTGCTGAAGGACTAGAAGAGAATAAATTTGATAAAAAAACCCAGTCTGAAATGGTAATGTGTAATCTTGTAATGCAATAGCAAATAAAGTAAATAACCAATTTTTAGCACTGGCAAAAATTTAGCCGTTGAGTGTGTATTGAGATTTGTCTTTAGGACATCGAATAATTGGAAGAGAGGGTAGGCTATTAGAGGCAGAACATCTGATGTAGTCAAAAATGCTTTTGCAATATAGTTACAAGAATAATTGAATAGGTTAAAATGTGGCTTCCCTTCAGCTCACGGTTACTGCCCACTCAGCTCAGCCAGTGACTGGGAATGCTTCTAGCCTATTTTAATTCAAAATAAGGCAAGCCCATTTTAATCACCAGTGGAGCAGCTGGTACCAGCCTCTGTCAGAAGGAGGATGCTGGTCTTGTTTGAAACTGTATTCCCTGGATTTCTTTAGTGGGAAAATATATTCCAGAGTTCAGGGAATGGGACTTGAAAATCAGTTGGAAAAAGAAATTGTGGTTTTTGTCAAGTAATTCCCTGTCTTACGCCACTCGATGTGTATTAAAGATGCTTAGCTTTTAGAAATGAAAAGCTTTTGTGTCTCTGGGTCCGAAAGTTGTGCAGACATCCGAAGTATTAATGTAATCAGGAGTCAGGAAGGTAGAGAGACTGCTGTATCCTGGCCCAGTACTTAGCAAGCAATATCAGCATTCCCATTTGGCTGTGGTCCAAATGCTGTGCCTCTCTATCTTTCTTTTGAAGAATCAATGTCGATTGACTTGAGTTCAGGAGAGGATTTTGTCAGTCAGCTTTCAAGCAGGGAACGTTGAGGCCAGTCCCTTGTTTGTGGAGCTGACAGTACAAAAGTGAGTGTTTGACACGTGGCTGGCTCAGTGGATGGGGATAGAGGCTGTTGAGATTTTTCAGAGATCAGGCTGTAAATGAAGTTGTTCTGTTGGGTCACTCATCTGATGTACACACAAGCTGTTTCTATTGAAGCACCTGGGGCCTTTTGTTCATGCTTGTGAATAAGCCTCTTTCAGTCACCAACAGTAATTTAGCGTCTCTGCTTCCTTCAATAGGTAAAAGGCAAGTACAGGAATGACATTTTCTCCCACACTGTGCAACCTCACACGTTTGTTTAAGATAGGTAACAGAACTGTGTCAGTAATATAAATTTTGTTATATACTGGAGCAGATTCAGAAGTCACCTAAGGTGTTGGTAATTTTTTACTGCATACTTCTTAATTCTGGAATAATACTAAGCAGTGAGAGTGCATGGGTGAGTTAACGATATCCTTGTAGGTGCAGGGAGTTCTGCAGAATAGACCTCCCATGTTTTCTTTTGTTATTGTGGCAATTTTAGAGGAAGACATTTCATTACCTTGTAGGTGCCCTGGCACAATGGAGTGCCATACCTGCAGCTTGTAGTGACTCTGACTTGAGCCATAATCTCACATAAACTTTGAGGCAACATAACGTTGCCTTTCCAATGACAGGGTGGTCCTCATTTTTCCTGCCTCTGTGTCTTTCCATGCTTCGGTCAGTACAAATACTTAAAGTAACCTCTTTTATCTTGTCAATCTAATTTTAATGGCAATCAGTTCTTTGAGTTCATTATCACAGCACAAAAACTTGAGCCAGCACAAGGGATGGGAAAGCCTGAGAAGAGGGAATGAATGGTTGGGGTGAGACTTTAAGTCTGTACGCCAAAAAAAAAATTACAAAATAAACATGGGGTGATTTTTTTTTTTTTTTTTAATGTTATGAATCCTAGTAATGATAAGCAACTGATGCTTACCTGGTGAATTTGGTCTGCATCATCAGAGGTACCATGTTGTAGTTAATATCCCTTGTTACTGTGACTTTCTTGGAGAGCGGTAAACAACTTTGCTTTAAGTAAATGTATTATTAAATCAGGGACATGCTTAACCATAGATGTCCACTTCATATATAATTTTTTTTTTAAGGCTGATTGTCACAACAGCTTTTAATGGCTGAAGTGATACATATTACATTACAAAGAAAAGATTGCTGGCATTTGGAAGGTTTTTGTTTGTGCGAGTGTTTGCTTTCTGGGGGCTTAGGACGGCAGACAAGGAGGTATGGCTCAGATTTTTGTTGCTTGTTATAATACTACAGCTGTAATTTTGTTGTCTTCAGGAGGGGCATTATCTACAAATTCATGTGATGTGCAATATTATGAAGTACTCAAGTTCATGAGTTTCAGTATTTTTGTAAAGTGAAGAGTTTTTCTAAAAATGAAAATGAGGTGAGGAATTTATTTTAAGGTATCATAAACCTCTGATAAGCACATTTGTATAGGTTATGTTCCCCAGCAGTCTTTCAATACTATTTGTGGAACAGCAGTGTAAATTGCAACAAAGTACAGCAAAGAACATGGTGATAGACAGCGCTAATCTCTGTGTGGCTGTCTGCACGGTACCGGATTATGGATGTTGGTGATCACCTTTCTGCTCATTCAGGGATGGGTTACGTTGCACCTACATACTAATTTAGTGCAAGATTGTGCAAGGTTTTCTAGCCCTCTTAAGAGCAGCAAGAAACGGTGGCTCAAAAGGCAGCTGTCATTTCATACCCATTCCAGCTGCCCTTTCCACTCAGATTTCCTCCCATCCCCCCTTTAAAAAAAAGGGGGGGGGGGGGAGGACTGCAAAAAAGAAGAGTATGAGGGTTTGAAATCTCTACTATCTAATCTGTCACATCCTACAGTTTTCACAGCTATCTGCCTATTTAAAATATACTTGTTTTTTCCTGCCTTGCCAGTAATTAGACAAATGCAGCAGTGCTTATGGCATCAAAAACTCCGTAGCTGGTAAAAGCAATTGCTATCATAATGCATCCCTAAATTTAATAGTAGTGGTGTAAAATGAACAAGCAACTCTCTATATTTCAGGGGGTAATGGCTTTAACTATCAAAATGGCTAGTATTTTCCTTGATTGGCTGCTTTGGCTCCTTTTTTGTATTTGTGTTTGGAGGAACGGTATCAATTTATTATAATAATTGTATTTTATTTAACTAATAACAAGGCAAACAGAAACATGAAACTCTTATAAAGTGTCACCGAGTTCCTATTCACCTTGGATTCTCGTTTTTCCTTTTAGCCCCTTTACAGACAAACCCCAAACATACAAAACCTTTTCTTTCCCTGCCAGTATTACACTTAAAGTTACCATTTCCTTTTCTGCTTCCCTTGCAAAATTGCTTGCTTTGTGTTGTGCCTGGAGCGTGGCTGTGCATGGAGAAAGAGGTCTGATTAATCGGAAAGAAACTTTTTGTTACTGGAAAAACTCAGATATTGGTGTAGAAAATTGATGGAAAATCTACTTTTGTGATCCGTAGTGCCTTTTTCTTGCTACTTAGACATCTGTAAAGCTTCTCCCAAGGAAAAGACGCGTCAGCAGTTTGTGTTCTCTTAAAGATGTCTCGGTCTTTAAGGCCAGGTGCAGTTGTGTTGATGCCATTTGGCTAAGCCTTGAAAGTTCCTGTAATCTGTGCCATCCTGTCTCATACAGTCCCATCTCATAGTTGTCCTTTCTCTGCAGTGCTCTATGCCCAGATCTCTGTGGCTGGGCTGCTCCAGCCTGGCGGACAGCATGCCCTCGCTGCGATGCCTGTATAACCCAGGGACTGGCGCACTCCCAGCTTTCCAGGTACTTTCTGTCTCTCCCCGCTCCTCCTTTTCTCTCCATCTGTGTACGTGTGCATCTCCTTCTTTACTTCCTTGCTTGCTTTACCTCCATTTATTCTGCCTCGTGCTGTATGCCTCTCCTATGTCATTCAGATCTCCTCTGATATTTAAACCCATCTTGTGTAGATTCAGGGCAGCTCGGTACTGGGGCATTTCCATTACCTCGATGTAATATAATTATTTTGTCTAAATTGGCTTGGTACCATCATCTTTTCATTGGCTTTCAATTGTGTCAAAAATATACCACTTAATTATATTTGGCAAACAGTATCCATCACACAGTCTCCAATCTGGCTATTCATGCAGTGATTCCCCTCCTATCTAAATTTTCTGTATGCCACTTAGAGGACTGAGGGGGCGGGTTCATTGCCATAGTGATAATTGGTGCCAGCATTTGTTTACTTCAGGTTTGTTAACAGTAGTCTGGACATTTTGACTACAGAAAATTATTGCACAAGTAAGCTGTCAATCAAAAGGCAAATAAAGGAAACTTGTTTTTTCTTTGGTCTCTGAATGTGTTAGATTCAAGCTTTTCTCTGTCTTGAGAAGCTTTCTGCCGAACAGGTTTGTTCAGAGGCTTTGGGTGACCAGTGAATGTTAGAAAATGCAGCCACTCTCCTGTGGGTAGAGAGTGAGGCAGCTATTGGGTGAGCATCTAGAAACCTAGACAAGGCCCTCAGGATCATTGCAAGCATTTTACGATGGCTTGTGGATAAAACCAGGAGAGCAGCAGAGACTGGGCTGCAGAGATGCTATGTTCATGTTGGATACTCTGTCTCTGAGATGTTCTTTGTGAACCGCAGTGACTGAGGGACCTTGGGAGCATCTCTGTAGACTGCGTATTCATTGGAGCTTGTGGTATCATGAATGTTTACTTCAAGGTTTGTGCTGCTGGGTTATGCTGTGCTGACCTAACCTGTGGCAGAGAGTTTTATTCACCAGCATCTTGCAAAACCAGACATGACGAATAAGCTAGAACCCTTCTGAAATTTTCAGTCATTTTGGTGAAAGATCATTACCTGCCTCTGAAGAACAGCACGTAAAGATTATTTTGAATTTGGCTTCTTGCTCCCAGGGCTAGGAGAGTACTGTGAAAATAATCCTCGCAGTCTCAGGGGAGGCGTAAGTGTCTTGCATCATTTTGCTGCAACTCTTTTTGCTGACCCAGCAGTAGCACTGATGGACTCTGGAAGGTGTCCTGCCAGGCCTCCTTTGCTGAAGCAAGCTTTTAGAGCTTTCCATGGGGGAGGGGGAAGATGACTTTTTATTAGTCTAAGAGGACTCTGGAGACAACAGGCAGAATTTAGACTCCTACTTCTAATCCTGATTTGCATAATTTGACTAAATCGGATGGGCTTCATTTTTGGGCTTTCTGCTGCTGAATAAATCTCAGATCTCTTTAAGCTCAGGTTTTAGAGAGCCTTAGCAGTATATGGAAAGCAATTTATGAACTCAAATTGGGACTTCTTTCTTTCTACTTGAATTATTTTTGATTACTCAGAATAAGCATACATTACAAAGGGGAAGGGATATTAGCCTCTTTTAGCTCAAGATGTTCTTGCTAATGATAGATATGAGCAATAACTTTTCCGCTAATGCAGCGCATTGATATTTGGGGTCAAATGAGTCAGCTGCACAACCATTCACCGTGTACTGCCTTCTTGGGAGAGTAGCAGGACTTTGACATTTGCATT